GTTATTATGCCTATTCTTTTAATGAACTTACTTATTGGTTTGGCCATTGGTGATCTAATGCAAATTCAACAAAATGCACGATTAAAACGTCTTGCTATGCAGGTCTTTTTTTTCTTGAAAATATTAGTTCATGAGAGTAAATATTTTTGTAATATATAGGTACAACGTCATACTAATCTTGAAAGAAAATTGCCGAAAAGGCTTATTCGATGTTGGACACAAAATGAATTAATTATTTATCTTAATAAAGGTATTTGTAATCGTGCTACCTCTATGATTAAACAGGTAAATGAATTCGTGGTAAAACAACAAAATAAATGAGGTATTATAATTTTAGTGGATTGCTAAACCAATAAATACAAAAGATATATTAGATGTAAATGAAGAATACACATCTGAAAATGAATTATTTACTGAAATGTATGCACAAAAACACAGGTAAACTTGTATTATGCCAAAATTCTTTTCTTGAAAATATTTATCTATTATATTTCTATAGACAAAAAATTATGCAAAATCAATTAGATAAAATAACTGATTTAGTTAAATTAATCGTACAAAAGATGGAAATTAGTACTGAAATAACGACTGATGATAGATCAAAATGTGATAATCATGGAGAATGTAAGAGAACTCCAAAACTTCGACAAGCAATCAATGCAGCATGTCAATTTTCTCATTTACGATCAACAGCAAAGGATAATATTTCACATCATTCATAGAGTACCGATACAGTTAACGTAGAATATAAAATATTAATGTTGTTTGTGTTGTCATGGTTTCTTTTTTTGTTTTCTATCAAATAAATTTATCTTTCATTTTAATTCACAAAAAAAAATTATTAACGTGTAATTAGCATTAATCCATCATCTTTTTCAATTGACAACCCATCTACAATCAATACTCTTAAGACATTGTATAACATTAACTATTCACTCATACTTTTTTTTTCTTACATTAGTTAGATAGATAGAGAGAGAAGGATGAGAAAAATGTTTGCTAAGAAAAGGGTGTGGATGTCGGTGTGGATATGTGTCTTTGTTCTGTTATTTTGATTTCACCCATACTCACACCTTCAAGTTTACCGAAAGCTAGCAGCTCAGACATACATATTACCATATTATTCCTCACACTCGTTACATTTATTTAAAAATATCCCATTTTTAGCTATGTTCTAAGAAACTCGCATATGCTCACATATTGAAAAATTGAATGAAGAAATTTTAGAAAGTTCGAATCATCTTGCTATTAAACAAGCACCTACCGAATTTAATACACAAAAACATAAATGGTTTCTATGTAGCGCTCATAGGAAAAAATGGGTTAGATTTATTACTCACCGATCAGCATAAAACATTCCGTGATTAAATCTTAGATATGCAATGGAATAAAAAAAAGAGGAATTGATTTCAATAGAGTTACTCTAGTTCACTTTATATATACTCCATCATTAGCTCAATTTGGAGCAAAGTTTCATACCATATGGCACGAAATTTTCGAAGGAACACTTTTAGAAGACATCCCGATAACATATGCGCATCGTCTTACAAATAATTTGAGCAAAATTTTCTTACATAAAGAACCACCAAAGAGTGTTATCAAACTTCTACTACAGTAGAGTTAAAAGAATAGAGTAAAGATAACAGATAATAGAAAAGAAAACGAATGAAAAATTCATAAAAATGATATTCTAAATAAAAGAACTTTATATTCGGATTAATCAACAAATTATTAAATAAAAATCTGTCTCCAGTTTTTTCTCCACCATCTAATTCTATAAAAATACGTTTCCTCCATATATATATATTGTTGTTTTTTAAATTAAATCTAAAATCTATCTATTTTTTCTGTCATCGAATTCTATATAAAAAAATCTATTTCTTCTATATACGTGTTATTTTCATTATTTTTATAATTATAAAAATAAAAAATCTATCCTATCTTTTCACTATCATCTAATCCTATAAAAAGTATACTTGTTCTAAACATATTATTCATATCTGGTAAACTTCATTGTTAACTATGGAACTATCTCTACTTCTTATATACTGCCAGTTATAAATCTATCTCTGCCTCTTATATATGTTGTCAACTATGAGTATACTCCACCACTTCTTATATATTGTCAACTATAAATACATCTCTACTCCTCAAATACTCTCAGCTATGAACTAGTCTCTGTTTTTATATATATATTATACGATTTACTCCATTTACATATTATAATAATTTTTTGATACCAATTATTAAAAACCTATTATGCAATGATATAACATCATTAGTCTAAAACAGCGAAAAATGCTATTATCATGCATGTAACTAATTGAAGAAATTGATGTTTTTTCATCTTACTTATTAGAAAAAAACTTAAAGATCCTAACAAGAATGTTTTTATATGTGGAACAGAATCGGTGCTAATTTAATAAACCAATACAATTAGCTTACATACAATTAATTATTTCTCTTTTTCTTAACGTTTTCCTTCTTTGTCATTTTCGATCTTGATATCGATTTTTTTGTGTAGATATCAAATTTGTTGTAGAATCGTTCTTCTATTTTCGATATCACGTCAAATTATTTATATAATTTTTCCGTATTCCAAATTATCTTACAATTGTCTTTTGTTCTATTCTTCATTGATCTGTATCTAGCCCGACGAAGAAAACATTGGCAAGGTGTTGCTATATTCTTGTTATATTTTTTTTCTTTGTTTCAACAAAAAAAGAAAAATTTCTCTTATTCTAAATATATCATTTGAAATAAATTTCAATAATATAATTCATTATTAACAACAATCGATTCAAATCAAAAAAATCTATTTAATTAGTCGTCGTGTGTTGTTGAATTGTATGATGATGCTGCTTCAAGATCTTCATCTTGTGTATCATTAGGTTTAATAACATGTTTTAATGACTTAAAAAAACCATATAGCTCAACTAATATTGATGCATATTTGTAACATGATAGATCCACGATCATAAATAAAAACAAAAGAATAATTAAAACAAGCCATTTTGGCAAAATATCTAATGAATTTATTATGATCGTAGTAATAACAGAACCAATAAAATTTAAAATACAATATTTGTATTTAAGAACTAAAAAGAAATTGAAAAAAATTTTGAGGAATTGTTAAAAGAAGAAAAAATGCAGTCGGTCGATTAGATTGTATTCAACATAAATCACAAATAACTCATTTAAGTTATCCTATTCGAATCACAATTATTAGGTTAAGAAATAGAGCATATTGAACAAATATATTGCATAATAGTAAGTTCATGAGTCAAATAATGATGAACTTGCAGCTGAAGTAGCTGAAGTAGCTGAATCGATGCTTCAGAAGACGAATTTTCTGAAGTTAAATCAGAAACTGAATCAATCAATTCAAATTTCAAAGAATATTCTTGTCAACAACCTGAATAACAGGAGCAAATAAAATTAATAATAATAACGTCAGCTCGTAAAAAAAATTTATGATCAAATACAACATCACGTAAATGTGATCATTTATCAATAGCTAAAACTATCCTTACAGAACGATCATTTAATGCTCTTTCAACATGTACAACAACATATGATCAACAATCAGATGATTGCTTTACTTCACCAACATTAAGTGGTGGATAAGAAGATAATAATGATATAGAAATGGATGGTTTAACAAAAAAGAAATAAAATTCTTTAATGATGACATAAATGATGAGTATCTATTACCATTAAATGTATTATCAACAGCTTATGTTATATTTCTATGTGCTATTCAACATTCTCGATGCCGGCAGCCCTCTGCTAGTCTCACTTTTTTTTATTAATAACTTTGCCCACCGTATTGATCGTTACCTCCCTCATGTGTTCCGTCAAGCCCATTGTGTCTTGCTCAATCAGCAACAAGGTGCCTCTCAGATTCATATTTCGTGAGCTTATTGAACAAGATAAAACGTGTACATTAGTTATCGAAATTGTAAGTGTCTTTGGACGTAATAACATAAAGTATACTCAAAAAAATAGTTATCGAACAATTAAAACGAATCTCCCATTAACAAGCAAATGATTAAGTATCATAGGAAGATAGAAGGAACAGATTTTTATTGTTCGGATGTAACTAAGAAAAATTCTTTTATTTTTTGATCGATCGACATTATAAGATATCGATGAGCGAGTTTATGTGTAAATAGAACATTGGTATTATTTGTTATTCAACTGGCAAATGAAACAAAAATAGCAAAATAATATCAATTAACAAAAAAATTGAGATCAATCTGCTGCGATACAAAGCACAAACTTAAGCTCGCATGATCAATCTTGCTTATCATGTGTATTTATGTTAACCATGAATTTATGCGCAATATTCAAAATAGTTGCCAATAGTAATTGTCCTAAATTAAATAGATAATCCAATATCTGTTAGTTAGAATGTCAAAAAGAGTAAATAAAAATAAAAACGAATATTTTATTTTTTCATAGATAGAAATAAAACTATCTTCAAAACATGGAATCTTATTTCGTTTAGTAATTAATACTAATCGGGATTCTTAATTGACTTGCATCAGATGGTTTCTTTCTGCTTTTTATAGCTGAGGTATAAGCTAATAGCAGTGTATGTAATAATAACTGAAGAGGAAAATACATTTAGCGATTAATAAACCGATTTTGAAATGACTTAAATACCTTCAACAGCCTTTTATCAATATTAAAATGTTTAGAAAAGATCGAATTAATAATTGAATTTCAGGAGATGATATGACATATATGTATGTTACTCTTCAAAAGTAAAATCATTAAACAAACTCAAAGAAAAATGTTTTAATCACTTTAATCTTATTTCTTATGTACATTATTTCTTTCATAAGTATTTAAACCATTAAATTTTGCAACTTTTTTTCTACATATTATGATATCTATTTAGTTCATCTGAATTTTTCAATTAAATTTTGCATGAAGGAAACAAATTACGTTCGACAACAGTTTTGTTTCATTAATCAACTTCATAAAACAATGTTCCAGTCACAATACATCGGTCTTAGTGCACTTTATAAGCAAACCGTCACACTTCATTAGCATATCGGTCACATCAATCAATGTATAGATCAAGACGAAATTATGTTCAAAGTGCATTTGTATCACTGAAGAGTCCGAAGTAGGTTAATTTATAAATCGTAAATATTTTTATTGAAAAGCTAAAAATTTTATAAGCATTTTATGTATTTAGAAATCTATCCGCAACTTATGAATGTTGATCAAACCAGTCAAAGCTGTAAGTTTTTATAATTTTTGATAAATGATAAAATTTTCGAAAACAAATACCGTTTCGGACCCTTTAGTGGATAAAAAAAGGATAAGGAGAAGCACACAAGATAAGACAGAAATATTCGATATGATCGGAGGAGACGAACTAGTACTTACTAACTGATTTGACTGATTCATTATGATCAGTTGATGATCCATCTGGTGAATTAATGGATAATTGACCAGATGTATCATCAGCTGGAATATTGATAATTGTACTTGATCTTTTGTATATTACAGATATCTGTCAAACAAAAAAAGGACGACAATATTAAGATGCACGTAAATCAAAAATAAAGTAAAAAACTTTTCTTTTCAATTTTTATACTCTGTCTGATAGAGAATTTCAAGGCGGTCAAGAATATACGTACCTTGCGTTTTTCTAAAAATTTTTTTTCTGATCAAAAAATTGAAAAAGCTCTTTATAACTTTGTAGCTACGCATCTGACCAATCTAACAACGTAAAATGTTGGTTCTAACATTTTAAAAAAAACCTGTGATAGATTTGCAAAATTATGCTCCGGCTTTTGAGTCCTGGTCTTGGAAAATTATTTTCTGAACTAATGCTTTGTTCTAAAAATGGTTTAATACTAGTTTCTTATTCAGTTTTTTATGATCTATCAGAAAAAGCAATTTAGAAGATTCCATCTCGCCACGTATTTAATAGAAAAAAAAATCTTTGAAAAGTTGTTATATTATGTGTTTTTTACACCTTCCAAGTGTTTTCAATTTTTCGATCGGAAAAAAAGTTTAAAAAAATGCAAGGTACGTATATTCTTGACCGCCTTGAAATTTTCTAACAGATAGAGTATAAAAACTGAAAAGAAAACTTTTTTACTTTATTTTTGATTTACGTGCATTTTATAAAAAATGAAAAAGCTAGTCAGTTACTTGATTTATATTTGTTTCGTCGTTTTGTATTTTTTGAAGATTTAAATCTTCAAGTAATTGACCTTGTTCTTTAATTATTTGATTTTTTTCATTTAACATCTCGATAAGTTGTTTTTTACTGTAATCTTCAAGCTAAATAAAACAATAATTTTACATTATTTTCGTATCCGTTGATCGTTTGTTATTACCGAAATTTCATGTTCACTCATTTTGTTTTAAAATTGTAAGTTTATCGAAAATAGTAAGTTTTGTCTACAACAAAATCGGTTTTTTTTATAAATTTCATGTTGTAATTAAATAACTTTTATAAAAGAACTTTATTTCTTCATACATCAATCGATATTTTGTTTATCATCTAGCGCGCACGATATAAAAAAAACGAATAATCAAGAATCCATTCGTTATCGAACCATATTATCGATTCTGACCTTCTTAACCCTAGGAGTACCGGCTGGGGTCATTTTATCGCGTTCTGGTGTATACGTATACAGCGAAAGAAAAAGACTCGTACTACAAGGGTTAGAGATTAATTGTTAATAGATATCGCTAAGCAACGATTCTTTAGTATCTATAATACTATAATTGTTGTCTCTCACTTTTAAAGTTCGAATTAATAAAAATAATGATAACTGTATCACTAAATCAATCACGTCCAATTTTATGTGAAACTACAACAAATCATCTCCGATCATCATCGATTTTTCTTATCCATTTATCTGCTCAATCTTCAATTATAACAAATACAAATTTTTATTCAACAAATACTGATTTAACAAGTAATGAAATTCATTACAAACTTCTACGCATGCTCCTTCGGCAATACCTTTATCTTCTAATGAAGAGTTTCTTGAACGTCTTTGAAAATTTCATCGATGTCGTTAGCATCTATTATTTAATTTTATTAAAAAAAAAGATATATTTCTAATTAAAAGTTTCGATTTTATATGCGAAGCACAATGGGAACGTGTGTATTATCTTTCTTATGACGAAAAGCATAGTAGGCAGTTTGTTCCATTGTCTATCCAGTATGAAGAGTCAGGTGTATTGAAATTCGATGGTCGTTTTTTGGTACTTTCAATCAAATCTAACATAATTCCACAATCAATATCGTAAATATATTTCGCTTTTAGTCCATTAATAACATAACAAATAGTTGTATACGGTCTACAATGAAATTCTTCTTTTAAATATTGATCCATAATTAATTGTAAAATAAGTCTTTGAATATGAATTTTAATCATCGTTTTAATTATTAATTGTTCAAATAATTTTAATGATGTTGAACGTTGTTTGCGATTTTTTTTCTAAATAATCAATAGTAATTGAAGCTTCTTTACGACAATTTCGTTTGGTGTAGGTGTGGGTATAAATACTGAACGAATATGACACCCACACCCTCGAGAAGATTGAGCATTACATTTATTTCAATCGGATAGAAATGAACTTGAACGATCGTCGATATTTTATAAATATATGCACTTTATTCTTCATAATCAATCAGCAGCTTTACAATTTAAAATCTTATTAAGTTTGAATTCGTATAAATTACGATACTGGATGAAGCAATTGGTGAAAGTAAAAAACTAAAGGATGTTTGCTTTAAATTCTACGATCTTTATTTTTCCGTAAAGTACAATTGAGAGTGTCGATGAATGACGAATTTTTATATTTATTATTATCAGATTCAGAAGAAGTCGTATCTATACAAGTCTAGAAAGTTCATGTAAATAATTCATCTATTATCGTTCTTCTATATTTTAATAATGCATGACTTAAAAATTGAAGATCTCTGTTCAAGTAAGACTAAGTCTTCGTTGAAAGCTTTTTTTTTTTGAACAGAATATGTTCAATATTTTCGCTCAACAATTCCCATTCTTCCATTGTTAGAATGACACATTTTATCAGTATGAAGCCATTTAAAAATATTCATTATTGTTATTTATGAAAATCTATCTATATGATCCAAGTAACAAAAAGAATACAACACACAATGCAAACGTTTATTTCTAAAGCATTTCATATATTTTTGAGAGCAAATGTATGTCAAAACAATTTAGTAAGATAGTATTTAATAATAATAGAAATTATATTATACTGTCTCATGGGAAAAACTAGTCAAGTGTATTTCTTTTCTTTTATACATATTTAAGTTCATAGGGTGCTGAAATACTATTACAGAAATTTTCATAGGCATAAGACTGTTTTATTATTTTCACAAATAAAAATCAATGAAGTCTTCATTTTTTGATATTGATTCTTTTACAATGAATTATAATGATGAAGTGGATTTTAAAATCTTCGTCTTTAATGGTATTTATATACATATTCATTCACTTACTGATAAATTATCTTGTCTAACTCTGTCTAAAAGTGATAGTAATCTATTTTTATTTGGATTATTTTAAAAAATTTCTAAGAAATACTCTTAGTACTTCGAATTAAAAAAAAATATCATGCATACGTTATTTGGTAAGTCAAGGCACATATTTTGACATTATTGGTGTCATAAAAAGAAAAATATGACATTAATTCGACTTATTTTTTTTCTATTTCCCAAGATGAATAAACTATTTCAGAAGAATAAAGATAAAAAATAGAATACTATTATCTAGATATTTTCTTTTCTTTTCCATATTTAATTAAACAGAGTTACTCAGTTCAACAACAAAACAAAAATAACCAAACATATCGTTACTTATCTTGAAGTTAAGCAGCAATGAGCTCTTTAAGTTTTAATACAAGGTATGTTCACTAAATTAAACATTATTAATTATTCATTTTTCTTTTTATTTCAATCAGTATTGATAAATCATCAGAACAATTAAATGTTACTGAAAAATCTCATGAGGAATCACCTTCAAAATTACGACACTTATTTCGGCGTCTGCCAAGAAATAGACTTTTAAAATTTACAAAAAATATGCCAGAGTTTCAGGAAATAATAAATAAATCTAATGATACAGCTGATACATTAGTAAGTGCAACAAATAATGAAGCTGCTCATGATATATGTTTAGTTTCTGACAGTCCACATTATATTGTTCGAGTAAGTGAAATATATATTTGTTTCTTTTGATATTCAAAAAGTCCGTTTTAGGTTGCTGGAACTGGAAATGTTCAAGAATTTGAAAAATACCTTGTTGAAGATCCTCCAGCAAGACTAACTGTATTTAATCCTCAAGGTCTTTGTGCAGCACATAATGCTGCTGCACGAAATCGAGTAGGTATTTTAACTTTAATTGTTCAATACCATGGAGGTAAGATCAATGATCTTATAAAAAATATTCTTTTAATTAAAGTGTTTTAGATTTAAATATTGAAGATAAGAACGGATGGACACCGTTGCATCATGCTGTACGAAATAATGCAATGGCTGCACTTGAATTTCTTTTAGAACATGGAGTTGATGATGTTCGATTAAATAAAGCACAGGAAGCAGCTATTCATTTAGGTGTTATTCATAATCAATTAAAAACTCTCACAGTAAGTTTATATATTTTGCATAGTTCAGTTTTTAAATAAAGAAAATGATGATCTTACTTGAAGTTTTAACCAGTGGATGAATCACTGAAATTTTGAAGGAAGAATATTCATCGAATTTTATTTATATCACAAGTCGATAATTCTTTAATAATGTGAGTTTTTCTTTATTTTTTTCAAGTATCTTGTTACTAAACGACCTGATCAAGTTGATCTTCCTGGTGAAAGGAAAAAAACACCACTTCATTATGCTGCTCTTATTGATAATGTTGAAGCAGCTAAAATTCTTGTAAGTACTCATCTCTTTTACTATTATTATCAATGTTTCATCATCAACGATTATTTTATAATATTAGACGTCCCACAATGCAAATATCTATATAAAAAGTGAAGTTGGCAGCTATCCTGTTCATGTGGCAGCATTGAATAGTAGCAATCGTGTTTTTAACCATTTATTTGAAACAGGTTATATTATTATTTTTCACAATCTTAGCTAATTTAGTTTTAATTTTAGCTAAATCATTGGAGGGTGGTACAATGGAACTTTTAAATATATGTGATGCTGAAAATCATCGACCATTACATTCATCGGTTATTGGTAAATCTTCTTTTTTTCAGAAACTCTCAAAACACGATCTATCTTGTTCTTTAAATATAGGTGGTAATATCGAAGCTGTTGAGATTTGTTTGAACAATGGTGGCTCAATCGATGATCAACAAGATGATTTATCAACAGCCGTTCATTTAGCATCATCACAAGGTTCTCTCGAGCTTCTCAAGTTGATGTTCGGTTGTCAGCCAGACCTCATACCTAAAGTTATTCGAATGGCTGATGTTCAAGGCAT